ATATGACAATCAGTCAAATAATATTTTTGAATGGCGGTTACCTTTGAGATATTACGAATTTGCTCTACAACCACCCACCAAAAAATCAATCTCTATAAATAAATAACCCACTTCATAATCCACCTTACCCACACCACTCTCACCCTAATGGAGCCAAAATACTCCCACACAATCTCCTACACTCTCCTCCTCCTACTCTTCCTACTCAACTCTCTCCCCGTTTGCCCCCAACCAGATAACCGGCGCCACGTGGACTTGCTCCACGACCTAATCGGAACCCGAAAGGGCGAAACTGCCCCCGGCCTCTCCCGACTCAAGCAATACCTCTCTCGACTCGGCTACATAGCCGACACCACCAACAACAACACGTTCGACGACTCCCTCGAGCTCGCCCTATCCAAATACCAAGCCTACTTCAACCTCAACGTTAACGGGCTTCTCGACCGGCCCACGGCCCAAAAACTCTCCCAAACCCGCTGCGGCGTCCCCGACCACGGGCTCAAGCCGGCCCAAATCTCCAAATACGCGTACCTGCCCAGCAAGTGGCCCGATGGCAAGCGGCACCTGACGTACTCGTTCCCACCGAACGAACGCAAGGACGTGAACCGGCCGATCGGGGCCGCGCTGGGGATGTGGGCCCGTGTGGCGCCGTTCACGTTCGAGTACGTGGCGGACTACGATAAGGCGGACGTGAAGATAAGCTTCCAGTATAGGGATCATGGGGACGGGAGCCCGTTTGATGGGGCGGGTGGGATACTGGCGCACGCGTTCAACCCGACGGACGGGAGGCTGCATTATGATTCGGATGAGGCGTGGGTGGATGGGGTGGTGAAGGGGGCGTTTGATATGCAGACGGTGGGGCTGCACGAGCTGGGGCACGTGCTGGGGTTGGCGCACTCGAATGCGCCGGGGTCGATTATGTATCCGTATATTGGGAGTGGGACGCGGGCGGGTTTGAGTGAGGATGATGTGGATGGGATCAGGAGTTTGTACGGTGGGTTGTGATGAGTGGGGAAGATTGGAAGGCGTGAACTTGTTTTGTTTTGTAGTGGGTGTGTGATGATGGGAATAATAATAATAATAATTGAATAATTTTTGTATTGGGCGTTTATTAATTAATTAATATAAATCTGAATTTTATTACTTGGTTTGGTTCCTCTAACGTATGATTGAAATAATGAAAAACAAATGCTACGGAAAAATAAGAGGCCATAACACTGCCGGGAGAAAAGCCTGGCCGCTGATAACTCGCCGCCAGCTGCTGAAGATCCACCGCCGCAATTTTCATCATCACCGGTGGCGGCGACAAGAGTACAAGCTATTTTGGAGTTTCAAACAATTCTCAAGAAGAAAGTTCGAATATATATCAGTTTAAGGGGTATGAAGAAAAGTACAAATGGAGAATGTCTCTGACAAAATGAATATCGAATTGTGAAATTATTCTCCATTTTATAGGTCGTCAAAACCGACATGTTAATGCGCGCACGAACCGATGCCAGCATCCAACCATCCATAATTAATGAGAATTGGAAAAGGCGGTTTTGACGATTCAGATCTTGGAGATGAAGGCCAAATTCAGTGGCCAGATTTGAGGCCATATCGCGAGCGGATCATATTAACCGCATCATTCGAGGCAAAAAAGGCGAAACCATCAAATCTTGTCATATCAAAGGAAATGGCGAGCTCAAGAACAAGCTCGGACTAGCACTTATTATATCAAGGGAAATGCCGAGCTCCAGAATAAGCTCAGACAATCGTTGCTTCAACTAATGACAAACGGGTATGCCTAAGAATGTGCCCAAAATTATAGGGTCAAGAAGCTGACCCCCAATATTTCGTGCATATGGAACCCAACTCATCATCATAAGTTGCCCTTAGATGATTGCAAGGGATCGGACCTTATTATCATTTGGCTGGATGGAGGTGATGTAATAATATTTTTATATTATTCTATTATTGTGGACCATATAATTAGTTGGACCTAATTGAATTAATAGTCAAACGTATTTAAGGTGAATATGTATTTAATGGATTATTAATGTTCTAATATTAAAGAGTCAATTTGTGATGTTTGACTTGGACAGCAAGTTAGGTTAGAACATGGGGAATGTTAGTAGGAATAAGTTTGTAGGACTCCTCCTATATATACTACATGCTCCTCTCTCCCATCTCATAAGAAAATAAAGTTCTCAACATCAAGGGCTTTGTGAAAAGACGAGAGAAGCGGGAGAGAGAAACAAATCATAGGCAAAGACAAATCCATCATTGGAGATTATGAGAAAGATAGATTCAAGTTCTATGTGCAATTTAATTAATGCAAGATCCAAATTCTATGAATTGATAGAATTACATGTTTAGGGTTTATTCAATTCCGCCTAATTGTTATGAATATACCCGTTAAATCTCTTACATATGGTATCAGAGCATGTGTTTATGCATATGATTAAGTTGTCAATTATAGCTTAGTCACGTCCGGAGATGTGAATTAAGATAATAAATTAATGCCCTGAATTGTTACTAATGGTCGCAATCGTCGCAGTGCATATAAAATAATTGCTGCACATGTAATTCGTAATGCAAATTGCTTGGTTGTAGAATGGCGTTCCTGTTTTTGCTTCTGATTGGAATTAAGGCTGTAGAATAAAGATTGGTAAATTGGTTTTTTATTGCCACGAGAATTTGCCTGTGGCTTTGCCATGATTTAACAATCATAATTGATTGGAATTATTGTGTATAACATGTATTTTGGCCAAGTCATGTTAATGGAGATATGTTATTGTTTGATAATCTCATAAAATTCCCATCAAATAAAATATTTTCTAATTATATTATCTATGTAAAGAAACTAGTTAGTCACCAAAGTGACCTAGTTTGATTTATGGAATAGATAATTAAATTAGATGAAATATCATTAAAATAAAATATTATCTACTTATATTATCTATGTAAGAAACTAGTTAGTCACCAAAGTGGCCTAGTTTAATTTATGGAATAGATAATTAAATTAGATAAAAGTATAAATTATTCAAATATAAGACAATGTCTTATTAATTTACCATAATATTATAATATTTGAATAATTGTTGTTATAGATTAAAAACTAGGAGGACACCCAAAGGTGGGCCATGGTTTGTAATATATGACAATAAAAGAGAAATTATATTAAAGTTAGGTTAATTAGTGTGTTTGTCCAAAGATAACCACTAATTAATCACAATACCTATAATTTCTATTAAAGATCTTTCCTATGAGGCATCAATCAAGTATATTATATATTTAAGTATTTGCCCAAAGGTATATTTAAATATATAATTTAAAATATTTCTGAATCCATTAATTGTCTCTCAAAGCTTAATTAAATAACATGTATTAAATTTTGCAACGTTCAAAATTTGGTTATCCGTACAGTATTATAGTTGAAAAATTCAATTGGCTGAACTTCAATGAATGGTCTAAGCATATCCAATTTCAGTTAGGTTTAATGAATTTGGATATGACTCTAATTATTGATGAAGTTCTCACAACCATTACTTATGAGAGCTCCGGAGTAGATGTAACTCTACGTAGGGTATGTGAGCGATCAAATAGGTTGTGTTTGAATTTTATAAAGTTAATCATGGCGGATAATGGAAAAGATTTCTTAAATAAAAAATCAATAAATTATCTCCATTTACAATTTCGGAAAAAGGTTGTTGTGGAAAGTTTCATTAACGAGCTCACCACTATAAAAGTTCGACTCATTCTGTTTCATCCATGATTTCGTGACCCACATGTCCAACATATAAGTTAAACTTACAAATATGAGAATGAATGTGATAGACTCATTTATGATTCTATTCATCATGAACTCCCTACTTGCTGAGTTTGGCCAATCCTAGGTGAACTGTAACACCATCAAAGATAAATGGGAATAAGGCTATGCTGGTGCAGGACGAGGCGAGAATAAATGAGATGAAATAAGAGTCGATTCACTTTATATCTCATGTGGGAGCCAATAATAGTAAGATAAAATGGGAAATAAAGACAAATAAAATGAGATTGACTTACTTAAAGGTTTTGTAGGTCCAATCATTAAATAAATGAGGTGTTATTTCTGTAAAAAGTTAGGTCACTTCAAGAAGGATTGTCTGAAATAAAATCTTGATTCGAAAAGAAAATATACATTAATTTTCGTATCACTACAAGAAATTTCAGAAAACATGACGAAAAAAATCGTCATGTAAACCTTGTTTTTTGTCACAACAGTATATTGATGACAAAAATTTATCGTCACAGCGATCGTCACCGTAGCCGCGTCATATTAGGTATAGGTGACAAATTTCAAATTTGTCACCTAATATTTAACTTTTAATGACGTTTATCAGTTTCGTCATGTTATTTGGTCATTTTTCGTGACAATAATTTCGTCACGTTTGTTATGAAAATTTTGTCAGGTAAATGATTATTTCGTCATAAAAAAACAAGTTTTAAATGACAAAAACTCAAATTTGTCATCTAAATATTATTGTTTAATGACGAATTTTCTTTTTTTGTCGAATTTATAAAATTTCAATGACGAATATATTTGTGGTTATTCGTTAAAATAATTGTCATATTTCATAGAATTCGTCATGAAAGAGTTGTTTTATAATTACAAAATATTGGTCGTCACAAAAATAAATTTTAAATATGACGATACCAAAAGTGTCACAAAAAAATAGTTGTGACAAAATATTCATCGTCTCCAAAAATATACAACAACGACGAATTCTTTTGTCATAAATTCTTATCTCTCTGATTACGAAAAAAAAGATTGTCATCAAAAGCTTGAGATATAATGACAACATAAGTTGTCATTAAAGGGTAAATATTTAGTGACAAAATTTATTGTCATTTTAACATTTCATATAGTGACAAATCCAAACAATACACCACGATTACATGTTGTGAAAAAAATTATTTTTAATGACAATTTAAAATTTGTCGCTATTACAAATATAATAACTGTCATTAATTGCATATATTTAGTGATAACTTTATTTGTCATGAAATATATAATACAGTGACAAAAACTATCATCACTCTAAACAATTGTCATGAAAAAGAAAATACAGTGACAAAATCTTTATAAATAAAATATGACAAATTAAAAAACGACAATAATAATAATTTTGCTAATTAAAAACTTAAAAAAACGAACTAACAATCTCAAAATGTTCCAAATAAAATAATAATAATAATAATAATAACAAAGCTAACAATCTCAAATTATGTTCCCATTGGCAGCCATAAAAGCCATAAGTTTGTCTACTTTTGCATTCAAATCACTAACTTGGTCCTTAAGCTCAATCACTTTAGACTCTTTCTCCCGCAGCTTTTCTTGTGTCTCTAGAAGTTCCTTCTGACCATTCGAGTCATATGCTTTGCGTCTACTTGGCGGCCTCGGGCCGTACCCATAACCTTTTATATATCCAGCTACATGGCCAAGAACCTCAAGAAGTATATCTTGTGCACTCTTCTCAGCGTCTTGTTCAGAATATTTTTCTCGCCTTCATATCATCAAGTCCTAACAAATACAAATAAAAACTATATAATCATATTGATATTCATTTCTACAATTAGAATAATAGATTGTGCATGCAATTTACCCAATTTTCTTCTGCCTCTTTTGTCGACCAACCACCTTTTTCCTTATAATGCGTACGCTTATAAAGCTCAATCATATCTAGTGGTCCTCCATTCATCTCCTTCTCAGACTACAAGAATTTATAAAAGTAAGCATAAAGAGTTTAAATTCAAAAAGAAAAAAAAAAAAAGAACTAATGATCATAAATAAATTAATATCTTCAACATAAACTTACTATTTCATGTTGAAGAACAGTAAAAGGTGTTCGGCCCGAGACATGTGGAGCATGCAACATTTGTCGATTCGTCACATTAATCGAACTTTGGTGCTGTCAAATCATAAGTAATGTTATTGGATACTAGAAAACTAAAAATATGAAAACTACAAATTTAATATGCAAAATAGAAGAATAGTATTATAATGCATTACCTTGAATTTAGGCGAAGCACTCACACATTTCTTCCCAGTTTTCTTGACTAGCACAAAAAGAGGGCTTGTTATTCTTAGCTTCTTTATGAGACGAATATTTCTTGTAATGTTTATGTAGTCTGTAACGTTTTTGCCGTGAACTAGCTTGGACTCTATCAATCACGCAACGTTTCACACCCGGATCATCCAAATTAATATCCATGTGGATCTACACAAATAAAAATGAGATTATTTAAGGTGATATAAATAATGTATTCATGCGACTTGAAAAGTGTTTCTACTTTTTACCTTTATATGATCAATGCCAGGTTGAAGATCTTTTTCTTCATCGACATCTTTCCACCTTACTGGCACCGGAAGGACATCTCGGGTGACTACACCAATTTGACTAGAAAACTTTGAAGACTCGTCTCTACTTTTAGGTCTTCCTATCGATGGATCCACGGTTACCTTCATTTTTTTCCCGCAAGCCTGGAATGCTTTCATAATGCCTTTGCCCATAGTTTGTCCACGTCTTTTCTTAATGGTGGTATTGGAAGCTGCATATACACCACTCAGTTATTTTAATTAGTCAAAAGCATCACACTCATAAGATTGTAATTTATTGAACTTTGAAAGGCAAAGGCACATGTATTTTAATTTAAAAGAGCAGAGCATGCATGTTTTTGATG